AGGGTGATAAAAAAAGATGACCCAATTTTTTGAAATTTCGAGAACTTTGGAATCTTGGTCGATATCGATGACCAAGCAAGTGGTAGTTGTAGAACATTCTCGAACCTTCTCCGTAATGGGTATATAAAGCTAGGCTGCTTCCTATAGCTTCAATCACGATGGCAATCACACAAGAGCCAATTCGACACGTCATCTTCTAAGAATGGCTTCGCGGGACCGGAGCGACGACAACCGTTCAAAACATCAGCAGCACATTGAGAGAGGGCACCACTTCTCTTAGCACGGTCAAGCGCTGGTTCGCTCGCTTCGAAGAAGGAGACACGAACTTCGAAGGTAAGCCTCGGTCGGGACGCCCCCACACAGTCGACGACTTCGTCGCCGTCAAGGATCCGGAACTCAGCACCCGCAGTCTTGCGACACTTGGGTGTACTCAACCAACAGTCGTCGGCCGCCTTCACGCTCTCGGGTACAGGAAAGTGCTGGCACGATGGGTCCCTCATGAGTTGACTGAAAATGCGCGGTTGACTCGGGTTGCCATCTGTCAGTCTCCTCCGCCCCCAGCGCAAGGAGTTTCTCGCCGACTTGGTTACTGGAGACAAGAGTTGGATCCTCTACAACGCCAATAAGCACCGCGCGTTCTGGCTCCCGCAAGGAGCCAGAAATAGTAATATAACTGAAGCAATGGCCCTGAAGCCGAGCGTCAACTCCATCCCCACGAACCTTTGCCCTAGGCCCAGTAGGTGTCCGTCGATTGACTAACTGTGTCTGTAATTTCTAGTGGCGTAGTCGCCGAGGTAAGAACGAGGCGTGCAATACCTAGCGTGGTCCAGGACCCATTCGTCTTCTGGCCGCCCCCAGTGTCGTGACTTTCGTCCGACTCTTTGTTAAAGGATCGCGTCGTGGGGAGTGCGGCGGTCCTGGCGCGCTTAGCGGTACGGTCGAACATTCTCGAAGCCGCTAGGGATGCAGAGTCGGCGTCGACTCTGGCCTCTCGCTCACTTCGTCGTCCGCCGCCGTACCGACTGGTCGCTCCTCCGCTCGTCGCCTAGCGTCAATTCTATCGTTCAACTACTATGGCAACACTTCTATATCAAGGAGCCGTACCCACAGGGAGCAGCACTACCTCCGGCCGTGAACATCCCAGGTAACTACTGGAGGAGTAGGAACACCCGAGCCTCCTGGGCAGCCAGAGAGGAGGGTGTCTGCGAGGCCCCTAGTAGGTTGTACCCTCGTAGCCCATAGGCAGCTTTTTGGCAGGGTTCGTACGTAGGTTAGGGGCCGCACCTTTACATTTACTATTAGTAGTTTTCTCTTTTAGTAACTGCCTTTTCTTATTATTGTTGCTCGTGGTTAATAAGTAGAGTGGTAAATCTATTTGACTAGTCAGTGTATTGTCGTGTAGCAATAGTGGTTAAAACCCACATCATTTCTCATGCATTTATTCTTCATAGCTTCATCACAGCTCATAGTATAGTTTATGATGCAATGGTCGCTGGCCCCAGTAGGGAGTAAATGACGTGTACGGCCTGATCAGCCGTAAAAGCAGATATCTTTAGGTAGATTGTGAGGACAGGGTATAGGTAGGAGGGTAGTGGGTACATGTCCGTTGTGCGCACATAGCGTAGGGGCAGTAAGGGCCTACTGGTTGCGGTTAGCAACATTAACCCCGCGTGGCAGCACCGTGGCGAGCACGGTCAAGCGCTCGTAAGTCCCCTGCAACCCTCGCGCCGAGGGCGGATCCTTTCCCCTCCAGGCACCGATGCTAGGTCAAAGGGCTGGTCACCTGGCAGAGGCCACGTGTGAGGAGAACAGGAAGCCGCCCCCGGCACGACACTCTCCTTCCTTGATCTCAAGTTAGACAATCATTATCTTAAAAATGGATATCTGGATGTTAATAACCCACGTTTAAATCTTTTAGCAAGACTACCCTCATTGGTTCCATAATAGGTAACCCAGACCAACTACCGTAGTCCTCCCATCCTAATTTAAAGCTAGATCTCGCTGCTCGCTCCTTTTTGTTTCTAATTAGCATACAGAGCATTACTATTGTATTATCATGTCAACATCTACTTATACCTACAAGCCCATTCTCGAACACCTTCCTTTATTGAATAACTCGTCAATATTGGCTGCCACCCTTCTGTTAACTTATTAATCCACTATCACTATCTTCACTTAATACACACACTTTGAAAACCACAGCATATAAACGGTTTACCGTCAATTACTTGTAATTCACTCGAAGGCAGTGAAAAAGAATGAACATCATCTTACAAAAGACAACAATCACAATAACAAAAAAAGCCTAAGATAACGAGGGGAGCGAACCGGCGGGAAGAGCGAGATGCTGTATACAAAAAAAGATTTGAAAACGAAGAGACAATGAACTCTCGTGCGAGGGCTCTCCCCTTTTTTTAGAGCGCGGTCCCACGCGATCATCCGTGCTCTACGGGCTAGCCTCACTCGTTCTCTTTAACTTTGGCGGGGTGTGAAACAGCTTCTTTAGTACACACTTCAGTACAACAAACAACGATTATTCGATTTTAGAACACACATTTACTTATGATGAGGCGCTAGTCTGTTTCTCCGGTAAAAATGCTGTCTTTGCACCAAAACTTCCTATGCTTTCATACCATCTCCTGGAAGCATAAAATCCGATGACGCCATTCTGCTCGTATGAGGTGGTCCCCAGGGACCGATGTGGGCGATCCCACCCTCTTGGTTTTGCTTCTGGTGTCACATTATTGACAACTTCTGAGTTTGCTGTGCATCTGGTACTCCATTGGGACTACGCCGATGGCAATCGTATGTCATCTGTTGCCATGTTTTCTAACCATGGCACTTAATTTATTGGTGTCGTCGACGTCGGTTTCTTCGGCTCTGACTATTAGGGACATCCGAATTAATGGCTATCTTTGGTAAATCCTTTATGTCGTATGCGATGCCAGTAATGGTATTTTCCAGCATTGTGTGGACCTTCGACAGGCATTGTGGCGTTAGAAGGTGTTGCTGCCTTTTCTTCTTTTTGTATGGTTCCATCCTTTCTTTTCCTGCTATCAGCTTCAGAGCACCTTGCACCATTCCACTCACTCGAATGTGCCCTCATCACACTGGATCGCTACGTGATAAACTTCTTCGTGGCTCGAGTTTTCTAGACTGAGCTGAATGTGCAGACATTTTTTCTTACAGTATAGCAATGCTAATGCCAGGGCTTTTCCTGAGATTTTTGTTCCTGCATTGTGTTTTGCCACCATTAAACTTTTGGGTCGACCAATGTTCTCTCATCCGGATGGTGATGAGTTCCGCAAGTCGTGCCGTGCTGTTGAAGGTAATGTCTCTCATTAATTCAGGCAAGTCCTGCAACACATTTGACAGCTTCCTTGAACGAGCGGGCACTTGAACCCGATACGGCATCCCTTATAGTCTCCGGGTGGCTTGACTGGCTGATTTCATTGCAGATGAAATGTAGATGCAGAGGACGTCTTCTGAGAACAAACTGTCAGTCGAGACCCAAAAGAAACACTTTCATTTAGTTGGATACTTTTTACAACAATGTTTCATGTACGTCTTTTTGACGCCGTTACTTACCCGTAGTAAATCGAACTGCACTTGCGCTGGCTCTTCATTTGCGTTGATTTTTGCGATGAAGCTTGCTTTGTAATGTTCGAGATGACTTCTACAACTCTGTGTGGACCTGCCCAATCTATAGTGAGTTTCGGGTGTTTCATTTTCCCTTCTCCCGCAGGCATGCGCATTAGCACTCTATCTCCTACTTTCGGCGCTCGGATAGGGTCTGCCCCTTTGGTATTATTGGTATTAGGTTGTCCGGAAAGTTCTCAGCGTTTTGAGTGTTTCACTATAAACGATCATAACTTTCTTAGTAATCATCGGATTCAATCGAGATGAACACCGTTCGAATTAGCACCCTTTTGCCAATGTGAAACCCGTCGATGAATGCCATCAAAGAAAAAACTGGGTGGTCGAGAATCCACGAAATCCACGAAGGCTTTTGTTACCTCGCTCATTGATGAAATATTTTCCAGCAAGGAAGTTCTGAAAATGTTTGGAAAGGTGATAGTCGGTTGGTGAAAGGTCTGGATAAGGCGCGTGAGGTAGAGCTCAAACTCGTTCAATTTATGGTTAGTGATTTGTGAAATGTGCGGGCGGGCGTTGTCGTGCAAAAGAATCGGACTCTTTGTGCTGACAAGTGCTGGCTGCAGCTGGCGCAATTTTCGGTACACTTCGTTGATTTCTTCACAGTAGGACACTGCTGTGATGGTTTGGCCTGGTGACAAAAAGTTATGGTGGATCACACCAGCCGATGACCACCCCACTGGGAGCATAATGTTTTTTTTTGTGAGGATTCGGCTTTGAAAATTGCCTCGGTTGTTCGTCGGCATCAATCCACTGTCCGGAACGTTTCCTGTTATCGTTATGTTATCGACCCACGTTTCATCACAGGTGACAATTCGGTCCAAAAACCGGTCGTTTCTGTTGTGCAAAAGCAGTGAAGAAGAAACCTCGAGACGTGTCAATTTCTACCAGTCACTCAAACTGTGTGGCACCAATTGTCCAGTTTTTTTTTCACCTTCCCAGTGCGTTTCAGACCATCCGCAACGGTGGATTTGCCAACGGCTAGCTTTTTTGCAATCTTTCGAACTGTTTGGGATGGGCCAGCCTCCACGAACGCCTTCGAGTCCTCGTCAGGTATTGCTTTAGTTCGACCGCTACGAGGTTCACCTTCAAGGCTGAAATCTCCAGAGAAATTTGTCGAACCATTGCCGCACGGTGCTTTCTCCAACACTATTGCTCACCACGGACGGAAGCGACCCACAACCATTGTTTATCTTATCGGCTGTCTCGACTGCGATTGACCCGATTTGTAGTTGAAGAAAAAGATCGTCCGAAGTTGCTCTTTTGACATGCTGTCAATGTACGTAAAATACTAACACAAAACGCTGAGAACTTTCGGGAGAATATAATACTATCGAAGTACTTTTTCATCCTACTGCGGCAAGCTTTGCTGTTTTCTCTGACTTTTCTTGGATTATCTTTACGCCGCTCATTAGTGAGGCTTTGTAATCGTCTATGTCCATCCTGTACGGTGATAGTTCATCCGATGGTATTACATTGGAGGGAAACACGGGATCAAACCCGTGGATGATGAAGAAAGGGCTTTCGTTCGTCGCCTCATGAGGTGAAATATTGTAGGCGTATACTACGTGTGGTACGGTCTCGTCCCACTCTGATACTATCCCTCCCCGTTTCTTTAACATTTGGAGGATTGTCTTATTTGCCCTATCTGTCACCCCGTTTTCTCTTGGAGTATACCCTTTGGTGAATGATTGCTTCATGCTGTTTATCAAGGTTTCTCTTTACCTACCTCCTCCCCACCTTTTCTAGGAACTCGGTGGGCCAGAAGGGTGGTAATCTCCAAATTCTCTCCAAAAGAAATTTTCTCAGGTAAACGGAATTCACACTGCATTCCCATAATATTTTAAGATGGGGCTGCGTACATCTTTTGACATGAGGTGAAAAACCTTTTTACAAGACAGGTTCCAGGGGCCGGGAATCCGTGTTACAGTAGCCCGGATTGTCGTTGGGGCGCGTTGTTGGATTGGAACATGGCCCCGGCACTTTAAGAACACTTCTAGCATGTCGATTTCTTCGAGTGACCATGTTCCTTTTTATAATAGTATTCTGTATGGTCTTCCATTTAGTCTAAAACGCATAACCTTCAACTGGTTGTGTGAGAACGTGTCATTTATAGAGTCAGATTTAGGCTCCACCTAACTGACAACTGCCATGCTTCTCCGCAATCTCGGTTATCGGGAAAATTTTTGTGAGAGTTGGACCCATCTGACAAGTCATACCGAATGACCGCGACTGAGTTTTCTTCTACTTGTACACGCTGGAAGAACATTTGTGAGATCCTGTGGTTGGTAGTGATGAAGTCCTTGCGTAAACTGAGCAGACATCCATCGCAGGATCTCTCAAGAAAAGTAGATAGCTTGGCCAAAAGCTGGTCTGCATGGAATAAAGACTTCAGGGTGGTACTGATGGGACCTCAAAGCGTATCGCTGGATACTGGCACAGCTGTAAGGATCACAACCCACCCTGATCAACTTCAAAACATGGGTGAAGTCACGCTTGAATTCAGTCAGAAATACTCAATTTTTCGCTATTACTCGGCAATGCGAAGTCTGCATGTAAGGATCAGGCTACACCAAAAGATCACGGATCTCGATCAGACAATGCGACCGTACCCAGCTTATTTATCAGAACTAGCTGACCCTAAATACCACCTTCCTTGATCCCTACCGCATCCTTTAGAAGGCAAAAATCCCGAAAATAGAGGTCTACTCAGAAATGAGGGCTCTTTTTATCGTAGTTGCAGTAATCTCCTTATATATAAACCAGAAGTTTTTTGTGTGTGCGTCTGTCTGACCACCCAAAAACTGAAGACTACATGATACTGCTTCTGTAGGACAGATTCCAACTGGTATTGCTATAGGATGAGCCAATTTTAAGGAAGCTCAAGCAAGGTAACCTAAGCTATGCCCTCAATAGGCGGGGCGTGTACCGAAGCGAACTATGTCGAGGATGAGCATTTTCAAAACCGCATCCAAAGCAACCTGAGGCTGGGAGATATCAGCGATGGTCAACAACGGGCTGCCGATTGAAGTAGGGAGAGACACGCGGAGGGGACAGTGAGGTGCGCATGGAGGGTGGTCTCCCCCGCAAAATGTTCAGACCGCGGTCCAGAGGCGAGTGTCTGAGTATTTCGAAGCCAAAATTTGAGAAAAATTGTAGTACGCTCACCTCCAGGAAATCGGGTGTAAGTGAAACTGAGCAACGATTGGGCAGATGAAGTTAGTGAGGGATAACCGTAGGGAGTATACCAAATGGTTGGTGCCGTTTATTCTATGCTTCCTCATCACTGACGGGAGTGCCGTATAGAAAATTTTGTTAGCTGTCTACTAGGGGGGAAGGGGGGGGGTGTATACAAGGACTGAAACGGTAAAGTGCGGTAATTCTCAAAACAGTATTTTTTTTCGACCATTAAGCCGGCGAAGCCGGCCCATCCGACTGGTTCTATAAGAATGGAAATGAGAAGCTATGCAAGTACTGGCACTAGTCCTGGTCATCAACTTTAGTAATCTTGTAGACTGGGGTGTCTTGAAGGAAAATTTGGTCCGAAAACTTGGTCAAATTGTCGCAGGATTTTCCGTCCAATCTAGTATAATAAATGGACTTTTAGAAGTTAGGGTGTTGAAATCTCCACCCTGGGAATCAGTTCGTGAAAACACAAAAGAGCATCAGAGGTTATCATTCTGAAAACTTTTCACTCATAAGAATTCACGGGTAAAACTACTTTGTAGTACTCGGAGGGTTAATGCACGTGATCATTAAGCGCCATGATAACTCGAATAAATGGTACGTCCAGAAATTAGGGAGTTGAAATCCCTACCGATAAAGTCAATTCAAGAAATCAGCTATGTACTTATACCTTCCATAGCTAGAAGTTTAGATGGCCGGCGAGCCATGCTCCAATCCAACAACGCGCCCCAATGGCAATCCGGGTTACTGTAACACGCATTCCCGGCTTCTGGAATCTGCCTTGTCACCTTTTCCTGGGTTAATCCGTTTGAGACAACCTTACCCTATCCTGTGCGGGACCAAGACATGATTATAGTCTAAACCAAATCAAAATCACATACATCATTCGAGTGAAGGATCAGACACGCCATCCGCATGCCTACATTACACTTTCGGTATCATCGCAGTCGGTACAGTCGATTTCCAGAGGGTTGGGCTGGCCCACCGCAGCGTTGCCAGCACTGGTTGTCTTTTGCTCAATCGATCACTAGCCGATACCACTAGTAGAGCAATGCAGGAGTCATCCCGCCCTCCTCACAAACGACTGGTTGCAGTGTAACAAAGCATATGTAATCTAGTGTGCTGTAGTGCGAATTGACTGAATTCCATGAAACTGTAAAGTTCTGGTAAGTGTACGTTGCTCACAACGATTATGATGAATAATTCAGTGGGAAAAGATGTAAAAAAAGTAGTTTCCGTTCCGCACTTGCCCTCAGACGGCAGCTGGTCGTATAATGGTGTCCTTCCATGTTCTCGTCAGTAAGGGTACAAAGAGATCTCAAATGTCTATGCGATAAATCCATCAGAGTGTTCCGGAGTACGTGTCAGTTGTTAGTGACGTGTATTCGCAATTTTTGCGTATTATTGTCAACTGATATGCTTCGACAATAATCAGATTACATCAGAATAACTTTATCGTACAAAATAAAGCGGTTCTACGTATAGACAAAGCAATTAATAAAGTACAAGGCGGTAAATACACGAAGAACAGTGCGGTCCCGCATAACAATTTAGTAACCGGACAATGTTGAAGGAGATACATACTTGCATTCAAGCCAGATCCATGGCAATAATAAGTGAAGAAGATGCTTGTCAACAAGAACTAACTTCTAACTCACGTTTGATAAACAGAAGAGAGCTCGGAAATAAATACTGTATTAGTGAGCTTTTAACAAACCGAGACTCTATCTGGATAAGTGATCAGGAAGGAATGGTTAAGCTTACATTTCGAGCTGATCGAAGAATGGTCGAGGCAAGAGAGCCACCTCATTGACGCGCTTTTCCTCCTTACCACCTTATATAGAGGACACAAAATAAGTGGGAGAGATGGCTATCTTTCCATCTATCATGAGAAGAGTAGCCGAACTGATCTTTGTGATCGAAGAGCTGTCCTGAAATGGAGGGCGAGATAAGATATAACCTAGCCAACAAGATAGGAGATTC